CCCATTGGTCATTTTAGTCACTTTAAATTTGTTTTATGAAACTTAAAATTATTTGGAAAGACAATGGCATTAAACTTTTGCTGCATATACTTTTAGATGGTTTAAACGGTTTATTAAAATAATATTTTTGTCTCTAAGTCAAATACTTGGTAACTTATATGATCTTATATTTGTTTTTGGGCAACTTTTATTTGTTAAAATAATATTCTTAGTTTAGGAAAGGTGTAATGTACGATTCTTTTTTATATATAACGTTCTTTTCTTGCAGTACGTTATCACGATAATGACAGAAAATGTCATTTTCCTGTAGAAATGACAAATCCTTGTAGAAGACAGAAAATTAATGTACAATTTGAAAATAAATTAAAATAAAATTTGATTGAAAAAATAATAAAATATCTGTTTTACTTATTTTATTTGGTATAAAATTTCTATGAAATATTTTATATTCAATAAAAAATGAGATTTTTGACAGTGTTTACTCAATTTATGGCTTATATAAAAATTTACAGAATTTCCAATTTTTACTGAAAAAATACGATTTACTATAACTTTGGTTCACTTAGCAGATAATTCTTTTTTCTTGTATTTCTACATTGCAAATAATAAATAAAAAAATGCTACATGAATCAAATTCAAGGCGGCCCAATGGGGAACGTTACTTTAAGACTAGCAAAATACATTTTAACAAAATTTATGCAATGAAACTTTAATCGTTGAATTCAATGAATTGTTTACAACATTTCTACTATATAATTCGTTGTTCCGAATTTAATCTTTTTTTTCTATATATTAACTAAACATTAATAATCCATATTGACAAAATAATGTAAATATTATAATACTTGATTAGTTAAATGTGCTGATTAAGTTACTCAAAGGTTGATCGAAGTCATTCTTCAGAAACGGAACGCGAATTTCTTGTTGTATCGAGAGGATGGTTCAATTCCTAATTTTCTCACAAATTTACATCACGTGCATAGTCGCTTTCCACCACCGAATAGATAGAAGGAGACGAAACGAATCGATATTTAAAAGCGTATTATATTTTGTACGTACCTGCAGATGACAAGCGTATCACCTGTGTTTTGTTGTCAACATCGCGTATATTCGAATTAGTGCGAATAAACAATTATTATTGAGACATGAGAATGAATCAGTGGTATGTGTTAACTGATGAATTGCGAAACGATTGGATATATTTATAGATACGAATTCTGTGTGCAAATTTTTTTGCATTGACTCGTGTTCACTCTGGCGATCACTTCATATTTATTAAATATAATAGTCGTTTCGTAGTATATTATATAGTCAGTAATACATCGAACAGTTCATAATTGTAAACAATTTACAAGAAATAATTATTAATAAAAGTAAATAAGTTAAATAAATTTATTTGATTAAAGACATAATTAACTATGAATTTACGATATAAATCATTATTTAGCTATTTGGAATAATATTTTATAAATCCGTATTTCAAAGATTTGTTATAATTTACATAATTTGTTATAATTTATTTATAGTATATAAATAATTCTAAATTTTTGTAAATAATTTTTAATGTTTATGCAAAAATTTATAATTAATTAATTTTTGATTCATTATTAATTTAAGCAATTACTGATTCATAAAATAAAGTATTGATTGTAATTCGTGAAGATTTCTTTTAAATTTTGATACCATTTGTCAATATCATATATTAATTATTAAAAAATTCCGATTATATAGTTTACAAATTTTATTATGGGCGATTTATTATATAACATTATCATTATTATCATTTTATCATTTTATCATTTGTATATAATTAAAGATATATACATGAAAGAAGAAGAGACTGACAAGAAATAGAATATGTTAAATGTTCGACGTAGACCCCCATAGACAAAAAATCGAGCATACAGAGAGCATACGTGAGAGATGTCCGTATGCTTATATCTAAATATAAATTATGAATCATGAATAGTGAATTCAAACACGACGATAATATTATCGATTCAAGGGTAATAAAGTTAAGTTAAATCGTCATTGATAAAGTTTTGGAAGATGATGTTCACTGGTGGCTCTCATGCGAAGAGAAGAAACGCCGGTGGCGGTAGTGGATCGGGCTTTTCTGGGAGAAAATCCTCCGTGGATCACCGAAATCCTCCGGTGCGCAGTGTTGGAGCCGAAGGATATACGTACAGGTGAGCTATTCGGTACGTAAAAGTTTATGTTAAGATATATAGTGGCACCATGCGAGGAAAGAATGAGAAAAGGTGTGCATAGAAAGATTTAAAAACTAATAAAAAGTTTTTGTTATTTTAAAAAATATTTACAAGTATATATATAAAAGTGTTCAAGCAACAATTGTATTGGCTTGTATTTAGAAATAAATTAGAAATGAATAGGAAATAGAGACAATAAAACAAGTAAACAAGAGATGTAGAATATAATCATATCATTTAATTTGATAAATGGAACGTTTCTACTTTTGATTAGGGCTGGGTAAGTTAATATTTTTTTTAAAAGTTAAGTTAAAATTAACAGTTTTAAAAATTTAATTTAGTTAAAATACAAGTTAATTCATAATAAAATAAATTAAATTAAAAGTTAAATTAATAAAAAAAGTAATTAAAAAGTTAAATTTTTTTTATTTCATAATTTCAAGGTTTCTAAATAAAGTTTCTATATAAAGTGTGTACTTATTATACATTTCTGGCTGGGGCTGCAGAAAGAAGATCGATTTCGAGGGACTTCTTCCAACATTAGAAAGTTTACGAACAGCGATTCCTTTCTGCGGTCAGACTATATTTATTATATTAACAACTTGATATACGTTCTCAAATTCGAGTTTGAAGACACCAAAGTAGATATGTATTTTTTTCTTGGGTTCACATAAGAAGCGTTAAAAATGTAACTTTAAGGAAATTAAACCAAAAGTTAATAGTTATCGATAAAAATTATAACTAAATTAAGTTAAAATTAATACTTTTTAACTTAACTTTTATCTTTTTAACTAGGCACTATATATCCGACCTTGCTTATGATTAATTGTAAACCTTCAGCTATAAATACAATTTTTAATAAATATAATATATTACTTTAATCATAAAATACATAACATTTTTAATAAGATAGCAAATGCAAATTTTAATAGATATATTATATTACATTAATTAAAACGAAAACTGTATAATATTTTTATTAAGATAAAATTATGTTCTATGTATAATATTTACATTAAAGGTTTTAGTAAGATAAGGGGGGTAAAACGGCCCCCAAACAAAATTGAATAGGGGCAAGTTTACCAGTTTTGAGGTGGTAAAAAATTTTTCACCACGTTTCAATTGCCTAACATCATTATTCAATCCGTAATTGCGAAAATGTGCATTTTTAAATAATAATTTATAAAATAATTTTGTTGGATTACATCAAAATAGTTACGTAGGAAATTGAAATGCGATGAGCAATGCTGCAAAAAGTGTTGACATTCTAGTAATTAGTTTGAGCATACTTATATAATTTGATATAATCCAACAAAATTATTTTTAGATCTGTATTCAGCTAAATTTTTAAATATAATATTTTAACAAAATCGTTATTTCAGTGTATGGAACACCGAAAATAAATGATCAATTTTTAAAATTATTACTTTTCCAGTGCAAAGTAAAATTCTTTGAAAAACACTTGACAAAGGATTTCTTAAATAAAGATTAATATTAATATTAATAAATATTAAAGATTAATATTTAAATAAAACGTAGATTGAAACTATAAAAACATTATTATAAAGTGCGAGAATGCTTGCAAGCTTAAAAAATAAAGAATGGACTTTTTATTTTATTATAGTAATTTTTATTTTTTTAACAATGACGCATATTTTTTGGAAATCTATAAAAAAAATGATAATATAAGTTGACCAAATATACAAATTTTTTCAGAGGCCTTTATGGCGGAATGTTTGCAAATTCCAAAAAATAGAGTAAAAATGGAGTTTTTATTTTTTTTAAACAATGGCGTATTTTTTTTGGAACCTGAAAAAAATTGACAATATAGGTTGTTAGAACAAACATCTTTTCAAATTGTTAAGCCCAGAGAGCTTTATTTTTTTAACTCGAGAAAAAAATTATTGAATTTTTAAA